ATAATACAAATCAAAATATCAACATAAAAATAAATCAAAAATCAAACAAAATTTTACGCACTGTGTAATCTCAAAAGTTTTGAATAGTCCGAAAATGGTTTCCATACTTGCAATTTTGCACAGAGCTATCCATACACCGTTTTTACTTTGTCACAAGGCGTACATGTATATTAGTAGGTGATCTGCAGCAGACTAGCAGATCACCTCCTGATTTCGTCTGATTTTTATTTTCTTTTTTGTTCAATCCAATCACCATCAATTTTCACTACTATTTCACCTTTGTCAGAAATTCAAAAAAAGTCCATCTCAGTGTCAGTGTGGTCAATTAAAGGGAGTCTGTACTGACGAGACAACGTGTCTGACCCGTGGCCTAACTCGGGACCGATCACGTGCGTGCAACATACGCGAAACCAAAGCGTGAGGAAAACTTCGGTTTGTTTTGCTAACGCTGACCATGTAGAGGTTCAGTCGCTGACTACCGTTAATCAAGTCCATTCGTTTACGTGCAGCTGTCCAAAAGAAGAGGTAGATGGCGTTAACCAGTATTTACCAAGCTACACGGCCTTTAACTGTGACATTATCCAAGCTCCATTTTGTAAATTCACATTATCAATCGTATCTGAATAACAGCTATTAAAACTTTACCAAATTCAGAGTAGAGCGTGTACAAAACGCAGAAATACGTTTTCATTATCTCGCTCGAATCTGATTTCTGACACATCTCTTACCAAATTGTATTGCATTCCGTGCACTCTCATTTTTTTTAAAGAATGATAATATATGCTTATGTTTAATTTAGTATAGCTCTTAAGCAAGTCCAGAAACCCCTCAATTATACGATGTTGGGTGTCATTTAATCTTACATTTGACGTCATGATATGTACTCCAAATTCAGAATTCTAGATTTCTATCTCTTACATTATATTTGACTACATTTCTGATGGTGTTGTTGATGTCAGACCGTAGGAACGTTATTCCGGGTAAATTTTCTCGCTAATTCCATTGGCCCGTATTCTGAAGTCAGGTTTAACTTTAAACCTAGGTTTATGTCTAGTCTAAGCCTCGCCTAACTCTCAGATTTAAACCTAGGTTTAACATTGCGTTTCTGAAGTCAGGTGTAAGCCTGGTCTAACTTTTGTGGAAATTGTACACATATTTAAACATGGGGTACACCTAGTTTAAGTCTGGCTTAAGTCAGGTCTATTTGTTGGATATTCAGAGAGGAAGAAGACACCATTAAAAGGCATTACGACGAATTATTGCAAATAATGAGACCGGAGAGACCTCTTGAGGAAAGATTTAAAAATCCTTTTACATTCATGGCGACGATGATTTTTTGCATCGCTGCCGTTTTTAAATACCAAACAAACAGCGATTTGCACGAGCAACATCTAGCTGACTTCAACACTAGAGTAGAGACAGACACACATCGCGTGCGGATGAAATTAGGCCTTGCGATTGTATGCCTTCGGCAAGTTTGAACATAAATTTGGATACTTCATTTGCTTATTGAATCTTATGCCTAATTTTTTCTAAATCTTAAGATTGTATATGTTATATAAGATTGTGTGATTTGTATAGTACGACACTCCTTGAAACTAAAAAGTTGCCAAAGTAAATCAACACGTATCACTTTGTTGCAGAGGAAAGCAAATAAAGTAGCCCCATACCTTTAGTTTGACGTTATGCTCACGTAGTTTGAAACTGTGAGTGCAATACACATTTTCGAATTGCGTCCCAACGATGTAAACAAATGCGAGTTAAAATAAAATTATAAGTTTAGATTAGAGTTAAAAGTAAATTAATGTAGAGCTAAATCTATATTGATAAGATAACCACGGATTAATTAAGAGCCAACGAGTGTATAAGCCGGAACTCTAGTAGTGTTTTGGGTAATTCTACAATTTCTGCCCATATTAAATAAAAAATAAAATAGATCTAGATGTCTAGACTAGATCTAGATCTAGTCTAGACTCTAGGCATATGATAATGATTAGGCGCGCCTAGTCTATGATGTCAAAACATCCAGAACATCCTAAAGATGCACCTAGATCTAGATCTAGACTAGACCTAGAGGTCTAAATAAGATTAAAATGACTAAAAGAGAAATGATCAAAAATACCTTCTTGATGCAGAATAACTAGTCCAAAGTCACCATTGGAGCTCACATGGTCGAATTTTAAGCATCTTTTTTAAGGACAATGCAATACGTTTTCTAACCGTGTGTACGAATGAATGCGCGCACGATGGAATGATATGCGCGCACGGTGACCGAGAAGGGGGTCGTGATACCCGGCGTACGTTGATTCGAAAAAAGGATTGCATTGTCCTTTAAAAAACGCCTAAAAATCAACCAAATGAGCTTCAGCAATGTTGACTTTGGACTACGGTAGTTATTCTGCATCAAGAAGATATTTGTGTTCATTTTTAGTTTCTCTTTTAGTCATCTAAATCTTATTTAGAGCATTTGTATGATGTTTGGAAGTTTTGATTAATCTGGACATGCAGAAATTGTAAAAATACCGATTTTGTTATTGATTATTTATTTATTCGTAAAGATCAATTCCACCTCGATTCAGACTTTTTCAGCAGTTTTACAATACATCAAAGGGTAAAACAAAACAAAAAATCACGCCATAACGTTCAACGGTTTCTTTGAAAGAGATTTGTTTGTGTCAGATATTTTTAATTGAAGTTATTAAATTTGCAGCACGAAATCTAGCTATAAAAAAAGCCTATATCAGCTACCCTTGAAGCTGGATGAGCTGTACTGAGCATGTGCAGTAGAAGCAGACTACATCTCCATGGTAGTTAAACATTGGCTTAACTTTAAACCTGGGTTTAAGTTTAGACTAGACTTAAACCCAGGTTTAACTAGACCTGGTTTTCAGAAACTGAAATGATACTTAGACCTGAAGTCTGGCTTAGTTAAACCCGGGTTTAAAGTTAAACCAGGGTTTAACTAAACCTGACTTCAGAATACGGGCCATTGTGTTGTAGTTGAATGTAAACTATTAATTACAGTGAATATTTAAGTTTGATTTCTTACGACGGGATCATAGAGACTTTTTTGTGTAGTTCAGGTGAAAGTCAAAATCCACTTGATGGCCAGAACATGCATAACATGTGTGCGATTTTTAAGCATTTAAATTTATTTTGTATTCATGATACAAACATTTCTTACAGGAGCACATTTAAACTTGGCATTGTAAGTTCCATTGAATATTTCTTCCTGAAGCATCTGTCGTTTTGTGTTTTATGAGTTATTGCATTCGACCTTCTGTGTACGACGCCCATGTGCAAATCCTTGTATTAGGTTTGTGTAAATGAATTATCAGATAAAATACCTACGGCTGGGTAGAAAAGTGCTCGACCGCCATCTCTTGTTATGAAACAACCAATACACTTCCTAGCTGGTATTACTATTATACTATGGTATCCTTAGATGGTTTGTCTGTTAACCCTATCCGGTTTAATTTAATTTAGAATTAAAGGTGAAGATGAAGTTATAAGGTGTACATTGCACAATGTGGCCTTGTCGCCGTTTCCATGTACTGTCCATTTATGCCTCAATGTATACAGGTCCCACCCATATCCAGCACAATAACATGTAGATATTTCCCTTCATTTCGTGTCTCAGTAACTAATCGAACAAATGCACACAGATTCCCTCTAGATGAAATGTATTACCAGTCAAGCATATAATATTATTACACGAAGTTTATGCAAAGTCATCTTCATAGTGCAAACGAGAGTCAAGTCGATTATTCCCACTCTGAGTCAAATGAAGAAGTCAACAAATTTGTATTTTGTAAGTGTGATTGACCATGGTCTTTATTGAGAGTTGATTACCATAATTAACTCGTTTCAATCAAACTGGTCAGCAAAGGAATTATAGTGAAAACATAACAAACAACAATGAATGCAAATCATTACTTCGAGCATTATAATATGTCGAGAGCGATCTGTAAGGAACCAATAGGGGGCCCGGTCGGGCGACACAGTAATATCTCTTGACTAGCCGTAACAATTCTTCCATTCGCCTGGCCATGCGAACGGGCTTCCCCCATCTCTTGCTGGCTTTTTGCACAGACAAGAGGCATGGGTGAGCGAAGATGACTTCCAGCCGGACACCCTGAGCGTTACACACGGCATAAAGCCAGGCAATCTCAGCTTCAACGGACAGGAACCCGCTCACCCCCCCCCCCCTATACCCCAACCAAAAACGTGGTGAGCACAAACGACTTCCCTGGGCAATACTAATTGTATTCCCAGCTTACGGACAAGTCAGGCTCGTAAAATTGTATAAATACGGCAATAAAACAATCCTCTAATAACATCAAATTTTGTCTCCCCTTCCTAACAGACCGCTTGCTCTAGATTTACATTACCACAACAATATATTTCTTGTATAAGCGATTATAGGCGTCCAAATTCGCAAGAATGCCGCCAAACGAGGTGTGACGCAACTCGCCGCCATATATATCGCATTACGTGGTGTTGATACAGGTCACCTCTATGCTTCCACGGATGTAAACTTTCCTATTAGATAAGTTTGATCAAGAGTCTGATCATAATGAGTTAACTGCAATACTGTTAACGGCTGAAGGCAAGTTAAGCCTGGCATTATTACACCAGCAATCCAATTAATATACTATGTGCATTAATATCAATGTACGGAAGTGAACACCTCATATATGGAAGACGAAGAAGCAAAAGAAAACATATTATATTGTCTTAAATATCATCTCAAGACGCCAAAAATATACAGTAACTTTAATCTTGATAACCTAATCGTTAATACTGCACACGAGAAGTTACAATTGATTTGTCATAATTAACCCCATTTAAACATTAGATCTCGATGTTAATCGACATAGAAGCCAAAATTAAGAATAACTAACGAAGCTATCCTTCTGTACGGGAAACAGGACATGGCGATTTTATATTAGCCTAATCATACGAAACTCGAAGGAGAATGTCCGAACCCCGTAATCGTTTTAGCCGCTGGCGTGGATATTGCGTATAGGGTCTGTGCACGGTCTGCGCCAACTCATGGTAGAACCATAGACGTAATAGAAAGAACCATAGACGTCCTTGGTAGAACTGTCGCTTGCGTGGGCGAGTCTACTGCGTGGAGAAAGTTGCTGACGTAATCCCTCGAATCCATCAGACGAAGCCCCGCGTCCCCATCCACGTGACTCGAACTGGGAGGCCGAGGTTTCCTTCCCGCCGTTTTGTTGCAAGAAAATCTGCCCAGTGCACCATTGAGTCCCATACCTGAGGCTCGGTACGCAATCCAGTGGTGAGTGTGAGTGAAGAGGCTGCAAAAAGGGGGAAGAAAACAAGAAACAAACGGCCAGCATTTTGGGTTCCAAACATCCAACACACTGAGATATATTACATTTCCCAAGCCTATTAAATAATAGACGGCTTTTCGTGTTCTTTTTAAAACTAAAAACATCTGAAAAAGTTAGCAATAGGGAAGAAGCAGGGGGGGGGCGAGGTCACGGTAAAAATCAATTGCTCAGCCTACGAACTAACTGTTTGCTAAACCGCGCCCAATAACAAACTTGATCACTTCGGGTAGACCCTTATAATAGCGGCGAAATGACTGAGAGGTCCATCGGCCCATTTTCTTAATCTGCTCTTCAGTAAAACCCTTCATCGCAGCGGAAGTAGCCGCCCCTATACGAAAGGAATGAGATGTGTATGATTGCAAGGATGATTGTAAATGAAGCCCTAAGAAAGATACACACAGACGTAAAACACGAGTAAACCTGTGTCTAGTCAAGGGAGATGTATCAAATTGCCTAAAGAAAGCAGCGCCCTGAGTTGGCCGTATGCGTGTGTACTCAGTCACTGCACGCACTGGGCACATCACAGAACCGCCACATGGCTCCCCCACATGGCTACCCCTACGACAATTGGAAACAATTCCAAAAACCCAATTGAATAATGGGCATCAAGTACCTCCTCGGGCCAACGTGCCTGGGCCCACCGTGACTCAAAATATATGCCAAAGCCGATGCTTCCTGCTGCATCCGTGTAAAATTGAAAGAAATCATTCCGCCTCCAAACGCTGTCCCCGAAGCAAACTGTCCCATTGAAATGCAGTAAAAACTCCCTCCATGCCAAGAGGTCAGCCTTGGCACCTTTTGAAATCCGAATTCTATGGTGGGCCTTGTGCACACCTCTCGTCAAGTCGATTAATCTGCGGAGAAATGCCCTACCAGGACCTATAGCCTTACAGACAAAATTCAGACTGCCCGTAAGAGATTGCAACTGCCTCAATGTCAACTTAGACTTGGACGCGAAATCATCCAGCATGCTTAGCAAGACCCTCAGTTTCTCCTTCGGCACCCGGACCTGCAATTCGGTGGAGTCGATCTCCAATCCCAAGTAGGTAATAACCTGCACTGGGCCCTCCGTCTTCTCGTCAGCAATAGGGATGCCAAATCGATCACACATCGCCCTAGAGCACCGCATCAGGTGGGCACATTCGTCAGCCGCCCTGCCCACGAAAAAGAAATCGTCGAGATAATGAAGGATGCCCTGTGATGACGCAATGCGTCGACAGCAGGCCTGTAAGAAGGAACTAAACCTCTCAAAAACTGCACAGGAAACCGAACAACCCATCGGCATACACCGGTCGAAGTAGAACTGACCGTCGAAACACATACCAAGGAGGTCAAAATCAGCTGGATTCACAGGCAACAATCGAAATGCTGATTTGATATCTGATTTCCCCATGAAGGCATTACGGCCGAGCGCGACCACTAACTTGACCGCCTCGTCAAAGTCCGAATATCTGACAGTGAACTCCTCCCGATCTATGCAATCATTGACTGACGAGCCTTTAGGCGAAGATAAATGATGGATGAGCCGATATTCACCCTCTATGCGCTTTGGCACTAAACCTATAGGGGAGCAACGAAAATTATCGAAGGGGGGTGCAGAAAACGGGCCTACAATTCTCCCTAGCTGTACTTCTTTTTCGATTTTTCTCCGAACAATCTGGGGGTATTCATAAGCTGATTTCAAATTCCTAGCAGACATTGGCACGCGCTCCCCAGAGAACCCAAGCGAAAACCCATTCTTAAAACCCTCAATCAACTTTTCTCCTTCTGTATGCTTATCATAGGTGCGAAGGAAAGGCAACATGCGAACTAACTTAATTGGAGTCGGCGCTAAAACTCTACTTGCTGGCGGACGTTTGCCCTTTATTGCAGGCAAACTCCCCATGGGAGGCAGCTTCGCATTTAATGCATTTATGCAAGTATTGGCAGCTTTTCCCTTTAACACATTTTCCGGCTGCATTAAAGGCAAAGCAGAAGCCTGGCCTAGATTGACGGCGGCTAGGGGCCGAACCCGCTCCTCGGCGCTGACCCGAGCTCCATCCACCCCGAAAGGCTGGCTGCCGCTGTCGCTGTTGACTTCCTTGGGGGAGCCAGGCAGGGCCGGAGAACGGGCCAGCCCCGTAACCGCGAAAGGGCTGCGCCGTTGCCACTAGCAACCATAGCTCCGTGTCGACTGATCCCCACGACGCTTCAGGCCGAGTGGCTTGGCGCAACCGAAACTGAATATCGTACTCGCGCCAATTGTAGTTGGACGCCGCAGCCGTCCTCACTATATTCATGTATTTAAGCAGCTCTCGCGACCGCGAACCATGCCTCTCTGTGTAAATTGACACAAAGGTCAACATCGCGCTCGTCCACTGCTCAATCGAGCGGATTAATATTGGTCGAGATTGAGGGCGGAGGTGAAACCCCCCGTTTGACTGATCAAAGGCAAGTGTAAGATCGTTTGACGTGTGGTACCCTTCTTTGAGCATATGCCCCAGCTCGATAAATTCCCCCTTCCAAATTCGCTCGCGCAAAGCTTAGCTCCTCACTAATGCCTTGCCGCATGTATGGCAGGCCTGGCTGGGGGAGATGGGGAGTGGTATTTAAAACAGGAGGGGAAGAAGCCTCCGTTGGAGGGGCGGTAAACGGTTCAATCGCGCCCATTTCCACCCGACCTTTTAATTGCGCGTTTTCTAAACACAGCGGCCACGACTCACCGGGTAGAATTCTGCCTTCCCCGTCGGTACGGACCCCAGGTAGACAGCCTCTGCTCGCACTCCCATCGCCGACACCCATCACCGTAGTAGGGGTTGGCCTGATTAAGCCGGCCGTTGACGCTGAATCCCCCTCGTCGTGCTCTTCGAATGCCCCTGCGACCTCAATAGGCTGCGGCCCCTTGCTGCACCGGATAGCTGAGGAGCATCAACCTGTGCCACTTCGGCGCCCTGCCTCACACGGCTTGCTGGCCTCTGCCTGGATTTGGGCATGGTTGGTGACGCGTCGACTTCAACGAGATGCACAAAAGTTATAACACACCAGCAAAATACGCCCAATGGAAAATACGAAGCAAAATAATAAGTAAAAATATGTCCCACTTCGTTGTGATAAACTGATGAACTCCGTGTATGTGTAACACCGGGCGAAGATGGTGAAGTTCTCTAAAAAAGTTGTTCAAATTTCTCTAAAAAGTTTGTTCACGAATCTGACCATCTCTCATGAAGACCATAGAAAGAATGAAGCGAGCCGAGAGCACGCGGAGTATGGCGCGAACCTTTCTGGTTTTATTGCTGACGCCAATAAAGTCTTTCACGACCCCCCTCCCTTGACCACGCGGCGTGTGGTCTACGGCTCGGTTCGCACTTCTTCGTTCAGATTGGGAATAACCTGTTTTAGCTACTTTCGAAAAGTTCGCTAAAATGTAATATATGTTAAGATATCGGAATTATAACATTGCATATACAAAAGATTTTCTCAAATTAACAATTAAAAGAGGACTGTATAATAAAACTCCGTCGCCCGAGCCGTTAATTTTATTAAGAAAACAAGCTTAAAAAACAGTACAATTATTAATTCAAACAATCAAACACTATTATCATAATGAAATTGTAATTTATTTTCTTTACTAGAAAGAACATAGTTGTATTTAAATATTGTATTGATTTTGTAGTTGTTATGACGGACCCCTTTTATACATATTAGCACTGTTTATCTGTTTACCTGTTTATCACCATGACTATACTCGTTTTCCTGAGCCAGAAATTATTAACTCGAACGTCCAATCCAATCCAATCCAAAATATATTTTATATAGCGCCTTTTCCTTGCAGTTACAAAACGCTGCACCCACGCTCCACAATGTTTGGGCAACCTAAAAATAAAAATTAGACACTTCTAAGAGATGACGATGACGATGATTATGGTGATATAAACATTACTATTACTAAAGAAGACTTATATTAGATATATTAGACCGATACCCGGATGTTATTGGTCCAGAGCTCGTGACGTAACATTACTTGCGATGATCGTAATTGTTGTATTGCCCAACCAGTCAATATAACGTTGTTAAAGTGAAACTTAGTATATTTTTCTAAAAAAAGAAAAGGTCGCCCTAAAGGTTCACTCACTAAAAATTTCGAAGAAAACACGAATTTCGAAATGTTGGGGAATTCGTTGTTGTTGGGAGGGGGAGGGTCAATATTTCGCCTGTAATATTTTTTCCTCAAAATATTTTTCGAGAAATAAAATGTTTAATTCTTAAAATGTTTTTTTTCTCGAAATTATTTTACTCGATTTGTGTTCGTCATTTTTTGTCTTACTTCCTCAAACTGACCTAAACAAAAATAGAAACAAATATCGGGCAACCAAAATCGGATCCCCCTTAAACGTCAAACCAAGACTATCTAATGCAACATATATTGACTGGCAGGGGGTACATAACATTCTTCGGACCTGAAGGGAGTTATATTTTCCCTCGTGACCATATTTTCTCTCATCGCTGCGCGCTTCGGGGGAATATAACAGCTTGGGAAAATGAAACTCTTTTCAGCAATCTGAAACTAAATTACACCTCCTGCCAGTCAATATCTGTATAATAATGATCATGTTTACAGTTTTCATTTAAAATAAAGACGACTCCAAACTAGTTTACCAAACTCAAATTAACTATACTCCCAGCGCTCCCATCTATCATCTTCAGAGTATTAACATTTCTTTCCAGCAGAAGGGCATGAATCGAAAAAGTAGTTATATCTTCATAAGTTTACCGTCATTTTTAAAATTGTTTAAGTTAGTGATTCGTGGAGAGGTATTTTATCATTAAATGAAATTTAAATGATGTTCGGACAGTACAATTATTTATGTGCTGTAAAATGGAACATAATGTTTCATCACGTTTTTATCGAAATCCAATTTTTTGTGCGAAAAGGCGTTCACGCCCTTTTACGTAAGAAAAGCAATTCCCAACAGCCATTAAAATAAGACTAGCCAGATAACAATACACAAATATAACGATTCCCAAACATGCATGCGTCATGGGCCTTGATGCATTGTAAAGCAGACACTAAAGTGTCTACAGTGAAAACGCGCCAGATATCATACTCGTATGTCGGAAGTAAGTAACCTTGTTTGGCGTTCATGTTTTGTAATTGTAAGTTTAAGCCGAGTAATTACACCAAGAAAGTGAATGACTCATTGTCCATCAAGAGGGAGGAAGCTAAAGTTGACTGCACCATTGGTATTTAATTTGATATATTACATATTTGTTTGTACAGAACATCTTTCTATATGTGATCTCTTGGATGTAATGGGTAAGCGAGGTGTTAGAAGGACCCGTTTCTTTGTGATTACTGTGTTGATAAACTCTGTACTTGAATTTTCGTGGATGTGTGTTGACCAACCAATCAGTTTGTTTCTCTCCATCGCTTGGTGGTACACTGCTCGGCGTAGAGAGCGGCATCGAAGTATCAGTGTATGTTCCATAGATCGCTGTGAATGGACCCTGCCATGAAGAAGAAAAAAATGAATTATACTGAAGTTGCTTTTTAATGAAAAATACAATAGTGGATACTGTTTTCAACAATAACTTTTGTTTTATGCCGATGATTTTTGAGAATATATATTATAGAAAAGTATGTTTAGATCTGTCTTTCATCACAATATATTTCAAACGTTAATCGAAAATCAGTACAGCTTTCGCCTGAAATGGGGGCTCATTCTGCGCATGCGTAATATGACATGTTGCGTCAGCTTTGAGGTACTCCCTTTCACCAAGGGTCTCCAACATAAAAGAATCATATATTTGCACTCAGCTAAACTTTAAATCATTTAAAAATTATGTAATTATTTCGATAATCACATACAAAATATTTAAATGTTACATGTATCATGGAAAAAAAAGATTTCCAATGATAAGGTATTACACATTTATAGGCCTACCTGGAATATTTCATTGCAAGCATATGTATGCATGTGACATACAAAATGGCGCCATTGGCATTAGAGTTGGTCCTCTTTGTTTTACTCTCCTTTGTCAAAACAGGTATTTGATCTTTATTATACCTTCCTTTCTAGACTAATCGACTGCGATTTTTTTTTATATTTTCCGACCCATACACATTTGTGTATTTTTTTAAACTTTAAATCGATATTTGTCTGTGCGTTTCTGACTCATCTACGACGAAAACACTTAACTTTGTGTACGACTATAAGCAATGCATGGGTGCACGGATATTTTCTTTCTTTCGTGATACCTGAGCGTTGCAAAATTATTCAAATTTTACTAATAGAGCTAAAGTAAACTCTGTTTGTAACAAAGACATGCAGATGTTTCGTTGTCTAGCGGATAAGGCTCGGGGCTGTGAACCGCAAGGTACGGGTTCGAATCTTTGCCACATCACTCACGTCCTTTGGCAATACATTAATCCACATTTTCCAAACTTTACCCTGTACCTGACAGGAATATTTTCATTACAATGCCACAGCGGCGTACAAATGAATATCATTGTTATAACTATTAATATCATTATTATTAGTATTGTAATTACTATTATTACCATTATCATGATTATTATAATTTGTATTGCTATTTTTAATAATATTAATATTGTTGTTGTTGGTGGTGGTGGTGGTGGTGGTGGTGTTGGTAGTGGTGTTGGTCGTGGTAGGGTTTGTGGTACTGTTATCTTCATTTATTATTACCACCATCCTTAGCATTATGTTAATTTCGGAGCCATCAGGTTAATGGCTCTGATAAAGACTATCCATCCGTTTTATCATTCTATTATTGATATATAAATCTTTGATTCTGTTGTGTTGTGTTATTGATTCAAATAAATTATCAATCGTCCATTTCTCTCTTTCAGAAACAAATGGACAGATCATACCTCTTCCGGTAGAACTTCACGCCACTATAGACTTACCATGAAGATGCCCTATCTGTCCAGAATCAACCACCGGAGTTCAATGGTACAGAATCAGTAACTCAGATGCCTTCATTAAGGATGGGAAAGCCGTTGTGAGGTGGTCTGGAAGAAATGGCAGTTCACATGGATATGGAATCAAAGAAGACTTCTCTAACCGTCCAACACGACCAACAATTGTACAGATGTATTTTTAATTCAGTGGATGGTGCTGATGAGTGTACACATGATGTTAAACTGGGAATATATGGTAAGCATCATTCATTGTTATTTTGTTTCAATTTGGAGTTTGATTATAATTTCACTGCCGGAAGACCAAGCAAATATTGAACACTAACAAAAATAGAAGAAGACTGCATATTACAAATATTTATTGGATTAATCAACGTGCTCTCAAAACATGTTGAAACTCAAATTGAAGTTTTACACATAAACGGCGACCAAATTGATGAAATATAAATCAATTTGAAATAATAATAGTTTTGAATTATCCAACTAACGTAATTATATAGTTTTCATGAACGAAAAGTGTATTTTCAAATTTTCGTTTATCATTTGTTGATGACCAATTTCCAGAGAACGGAAAACGTTTGTGTACATATACCATGTTAAAGTTCCTAAGGGAATTCGTCTCCTAATGTCTGCAGAAAGTAGTGTTTTTCATTGGGTCAGTTCGAAATTCCCCCAAAAGTAGTGCTTAAAGATCAATTCCGCTTTAATGTCCTATGTCCCATTTGCAGACCAAAAAAGGAAAATGCTAAATTCCAATAGCATTTGAAAGATATAATAATACTAATTCAGAACTTCCCCTCAAAACAGAAGGGCTTGACAATATATTTTTGTTCTGCGCAAGGATTCAATCAGTTGAATGTGGCTT